AYAYTTACATCAAATTTACAACCTATAAAGCGCGCGATTTTTTCCAGTGATGATGAAGTTCTGAAGTTCTTACCTGAGCCAAGGTCAGCGGTAAATCTAACAAGACCAGATGCAATCTCAATCATGAGATAATCGGTGTTAGTCCCTCCCGGTYGCCAGCCAGCGTACAAGAGAAGACCGCTGGTTTGAATGGTCTGGAACCAAAGAGATCCAGACTGGCCAAATAGCCAGTAAGTGGTGTTGAGAGCAGCCTCTATATAACTGGATTTGGACAGATATGTGATGGAGGTGCCTAAAAACACAGAGAMAGAATAAGGTATATAAAGAAATGGTCGGAAATAACAAACGAAAAAAAGACAAATAAACTGAAAAAAAAACATAAAAGTATTTAACTTACTATTTTGACATGTTTTCCCGCTGAAGTCTTTCAAGCACTTACAAACAAACCCCGACCATGTGGCTATACAAGTGCCGCCATTGGCACAAACRTTGCCGTTGCAATTTTCCTCCTTCTTGCAACCAGCCGTTGGCAAAGTATACCCAGAGTTCTTTGCMAGCTCAAATGTTTTGAGCTCGCCGTTAATCCTTACTGCGCGTGCGCACCCACTAAACGTCATCGACCCTCCAAGGGTCAGACCTAAGCTAACCAAGCTATTGAGCAGGGATCCCATGTAGAATTTGCTGTCTAAATGAGTAATACTGTAAGACCCAAGGCTGAGGATTGCTTGGAAAGAATCGACTTTTACAATCACGTGCCCGGAAGTTACAGTGATATTGACTTGGTGCCAGGACCCATCATCGAGTTTGGTTCCAATCCGTTTGACGGCTTCATTGGCGAAATTAACGTAGTATGCAGCAATGATCTGACCTCTCGTCAAAGACAGACCGAAAGAACCTGGTGACGACTACGAATAGAAAAAACAAGAGAGATGATTTTTTGGTTGAAACTTTAGATTTTGTCCTTATAAATATCACTAATCTGATGGTCAGTGGTTTTCTTTACAACTATCAAAATATACTTACACCTTTGTCGGCGTACGCAAGAATCCCATCAGACACCAAAGATGCCGAGAATTCAAACGACAATGAGGTAATGGCCGCGGAAGACTGGAACATTAAGCCATGATTTTTATCCTGATTAAAAGTAGCAACAGATTGCTTTTCGCARTATGAGCCCTCGTATCCTGATTTGCACTGACAGCGGTAATCAAACCACTGATCTACGCATGCGCCATGTTGGCATCGATGATTGGCACAAACGTCAGTCCTTTGGCAGCCGGGGTTAACTTGATGAGCATTGGCCATGAAGTATGATAGTAAACCAGAAAGTTGATTGATTTGGAAATCCTGGAAAATAATTTAAGTTGATAAAGTGGTGGAAACTAGCGGTAAACTAGTGTGAGCTGCGTCGGTGTTTCTAAAGAAACAGTTATGTAAAAACAGAATTTTTAACACCGAAAAAAAGAAGGTGAAAGAACTTACTTAAAGCTTTTACTCCGACAAAGGATTAACGTCCGAAACGTCAGTAAGTTGTTTCAACTACATTTTACGGTGTTAAATTTATCTTTTTACATAACTGTTCCAATGATAAAGGTCGAAATAATAARATCAATATGAACGTTTAAACCAAACAGGGGGAGGGAGGGGTGACGGGAAACAGAGTCCCATRCTAAACCCCACCTTCGTKYAAGGCGASACTWGATAGAACTTACATCAATGCAACCRACAAAGTTTCCATCGGTGACAATTTGTGTTCGAATAATGGGTGTTAAATGACTGACCCCACCCATTGTCGGTACTCCGTGGAACGTCGATATACTTGTTTCTTGAATCGCAGCAGTTGCTTTGCAAGTACCATCTGCGCATGCTTTAGACTCYACTGTCAGTTCTGCACTCGTTTTGGTGAGACCAACGTTAAGCTTGTGGAACAGCCCATCATTGAGATTACTACCAGTTGTAGTCACTACGGTGTTCGTTCCAAGGTTAACTGATAGACGAATTGCACCTTGGTACAGTTCGACTGCTAGATGGTCTGGATGCTCCTTCGTCCAGTCCTGAAAGTATAAACAATAAAATTCTTACCATTCTTTGACTCTTCCTGTCGATCTTACAGCAATGCTTTTATTGATTTCTGGGGGAAGGGGAAAAACAGAAACCCACTCCCCCAGATTTTCTAGCGTTCATACACCGCCTTTTATATAAACAAATCAAAACAAATTTACCATCAGTCGACAACAATATTTGTTCACAAATTACAGAGATGTGCAGTAGAACCGACGCGCTTAATCCGTGAAACAAGTATAGTACTAAATGATTCTAATTCCTTTGTTTTCTATTGTTTAATCAATACTATTTAGTAGTATTTGGTAATGTTGGTTTCAAGGATTTAGTGCGTCCAATCCACTATTGTATTTCTTAATATTTTGCGTTATGTGGAATGCTGTACTCTGCGTAGTATACAGCTCTTCAGAATGACCCAATACTCCATTTTCGAATTCAAAGCGAACAACCGCTGTTTTAATTGACAGCAAATTCTCTTGCGCAAAGAACTTACCAAACACACAAGAAAGTAAGAGAAAATGTTGATGGTTCAATAGCGCTAACAATTTACATTCTCCCGGAGAGAACTAAGAATTAAATTAAGAGAAATAAGGTTTTTAAACTCTGCAAACAAGCCTTCTTGGAATAAAGGGTAAGCCTCAACTTGGGGAAAATGTAAATTGTTAGCGCTATTGTATTTCCAACATTTTCTTGTAGTTCTTTGTGTTTGGTAAGTTCTTTGCGTAAGAGAATCTTCTGTCAATAAAACAGCGCTTTGAATTCGAAAAATGGAGTGTTGCATTGGTGGTGCCTTATAGCTAGTATGTTGATAGCTAGTTCATAATGATCATAATACATGTACTTACCGCTCYCTGATAAATCAAGAGTGCACTTGATAGAGTGGTTCTAAATCTAAACGAGATGAGCGCTGGAATGGACAGCGGTTGCCAATAAATTGRCATGTACGAACCACGCCTAAAATTGATCACGTGAAGAAATTCACATTTGCCACCTTTGTAACCATCTACGCATCGACACTGATAGCCACTGATACCATCTACGCATGTCGCACCATTTTTACAAGGATTYGATTGACATTCRTTAACATTGACGYCACACGTYAAACCTGTATAACCTGTTTTACAGGTACAYGTGAACTTGTTGTTYGCTGCGGAGCATGTTCCACCGTTTTGACAGGGTTTTGTAGTACAATCTGTTACCAGGCTCTCGCAGTKTCTACCAGTGTATCCAGGTGCGCATGTRCAAGAATAGCCATTTACTTGATCCACACASGTCCCACCGTTACCGCAAGGCATGCTGGAACACTCATTTAAATCCGCTTCGCAATGCATGCCGGTATATCCTGCTGGGCATGTGCAGTTATAACCTCCAGGTGTGTTGTGACACGAGCCTCGTCTGCACGGTGAGGTTTGGCACTCGTTGACGTCTATGGAGCAATAGGCACCAGTCCATCCAGCCGTGCAGTTGCAATTTCTCTTAGAGTCAAATAAGTAGCAGCTTCCATTATTCTTGCAAATACTGGGATGGCAAACCGACTCGTTGAACTGGCAGTGTTTACCTATGGAAGATTAGAGATAGACAAGATAAAAATCATTTCAATCTACTGTCTGCCTTTGTATGTTTGCACTTTGTGCTTATTGCCTGATGATGGTTTTGTAATAAAACCGAAATATTACTCTTCTTAGTCTCCTCTCGCAGCCGCTAGGACGTTCGTTCCCAGGTCACGAACGTCCTAACGGCTGC